CAAAAAAAAAAAAAAAAAAAAAGAAAATAGGAGAAAAAATTACCCACAAGCTCACTACACTAATATAACCATTACTAATATTCTGATATACTTCCTTCTAGTCATTTTTCCTGGGCATTTTAACATCCACAACATTTTGTATCCAGATTTTTTCATTTAATTTTTTATTAGTTATCGTCATAAATTTTTACATTAATAGTGCCTATAAATTATTTCATAAAGATAGTACGAAAACAAAGGGTATAAAAACAAAAAGTTTTTTTATTGTGCTTACCTCATAAATAGGAAGTGTGGGAGAATTCCATGCATTGATTCTTGATTCATTGACATCAACAACGGTTACCCTGATTTCCGGGCACATATGAGCAATGACACTACACGTGGGTCCTCCGACATATCCCGCACCAATGCAACAGATCTTCTTAATCTCGAACATGATTGTACTAGAAGGGAAACAGTAAGACTGTTCTACTATTGAAAACAAATGTAAAGAAATCACATTGTACATTCATCACACTTTATAAAAACTGTCAAGGTGACAGACATTTGGAAAGACTCCCTATTCACTCATGAGAATTATGAAAATACTGATTTAAAAAATAGCATTCCAGGTAGAACATGGTAGCTTATGCCTACAATCTCAGCACTTTGGGAGCCTAAGGCAGGAAGATTACTTGAAACCAGGAGTTTGAGACTAGCCTGGGCAATATAGCAAGACCAGGTCTATACAAAAAAACAAAAAATAAAAAATCAGCCAGGTGTGGTGGTATGTGCCTATAGTACCAGCTACTCAGAAAGCAGAGAATGGAGGATTGCTTGAGCCCAGGAATTCGAGGCTGTGGTAAGCACTCCAGCCTGGGCGACAGTGAGAATCTGACTCAAAAAAAGAAAAAAAAAATTCCAATCAGATGACCTACACTGTTCTCAGCTGCACTAGCAGGAAACATATGGAAAAAATTATAGTAACTGATATTAGCAAAGAGATGCAACAAAAATTATAATGACCTAATATTCAGAAAGTCAAGAAGCAAAATAAAACCTTACTTATGTCTCTAATACACTAGGACAACTTTGATTCCTAAGGGAACGTTCTAGGGTGAAAATACTGGTGCAATTCTTGCTTAAACAAATGTTCATGTACAAAGGTGAGTTTACAACAGGTTTAGACCAAGACGACATACATTTGGATTAGTTCCACAGTCTAGAATTGACCTTTGAAAATATACCCTCTACATAGTTAATTTGGCTTCAGCAGTAATTTTTAGGAACTGGGTAATGATCTTAAACTCTATTTCACCTTTAATCAGAAACCGTGAAATGGGTAGAGAAAGAGTAATTTCTATAATTACCAAAGCTGCTACACAGATTTCAATAGGCTTTCAAAAGCCACTGGGTGAACTGATTATCACTAACAAAAATTACAAGGAACTGATTTATGTGTAAGAATGACCATTTATCCATTATAATGAGAATGACTGTCAAACTGATCAGATTCTCAGAATTTTAGTCCTTGCCAAGACTTCAGACATCATCCAATCTAACCCATTCATGAATTCCAAAGAGAAGGAAAATGGTAATCGGTGAGTTTAAGAACCTGTTAGTAAACTCCAGCATGGGTCCAAGAAGGCAGTCTGGAAGGCTGGTCTAATGTGAATGCCTTACAAGAGTATCCTTATTATGAAAAAAAAAAAAATACACAAAGCACACAGTTAAGATGACCTCAAGTTCCTTTGTTTTGAATCTGTATTTATCAATGTTTCACATTTTCATTTGGTTCTCTGGACAGACTTCTCTACTGGAAGATAATGAGTTGACCAACCCATACAAGTATCCTAGACTGTTTGCAGCCTCACGGTATTCATAACTGCCAATATGGCTTATACATCAATCTTTGTGCTTGTCGTTAGCAGATATCAACTCATAGACTCTGATCCCAATTTACTTTTTTTCTAATTTTTTTTTAAGACTCGTCTAGTGCAGTAGTGACAAAGGAGAAAGAGTAGAACAAGGAGTTTGATCTGTAACTGACCATGAACAATTGACTGAGATACCTCACTACCTTCGGACCAGCCTCTAATTACTTTGTCTTTTTTTTTTTGAGTCATCCAAGCTGGAGTGCAGTGGCATAATCACTGAACTCTTGGACTCAAGTGATCCTCCTGCCTCAGCCTCCTGAGTAGCAAGGACCAGCTAACTTTTCTAATTTTTTTTTTGTAGAAAGGAAGTCTCACTGCCTTCTTTAAAAAAAAAAAAATACTGATTTCTGTAGGGCCAGGATAGCTCCTAATTACTATCTTTTTTCTTTTTTTGAATCGGGGTGCCACTCTGTCCTGCAGACTGGAGTATAGTGGCATGATCACAGCTTACCATAGCCTCAACCTCCTGGACTCAGGTGATTCTTCCACCTCAGCCTTCCTAGTAACTGGGATTACAGGCACACATTTCCACCCCCAAGTAATTTTAAAAAATATTTTGTAGAAATAGAGTTTCACTATGTTTCCTGGGCTGATCTCAAACTCCTGGGCTCAAGCAATCCTCCTGCCTCAGCCTCCCAAAGTGCTGGGATCACAGGTATGAGCCACCATGCTTGACTCTAATTACTTTTATTTTTTTGAGTTGGGGGTCTCATTCTGTCACCCAGACTGGAGTGCAGTGGCACAATCATGGCTCAAAAAGTCTCAGCCTCCTGGGCATCCCAAATAGCTGTGACTACAGGTGTCCACCACCACACCCAGCTAATTCTTTTATTGTTTTATAGAGATAACATTTCACTATGTTGCCCAGGCTGGTCTTGAATTCCTGGACTCAAGCAAATCCGCTGCCTCAGCCTCCCAAAGTGCTGGGATTACAGGTATGAGCCACCGTGCCTGGCCTAATTACTTTTTTAAAACTATAAAAAGAGGCCGGGTGCAGTGACTGATGCCTATAATTCCAACACTTTGGGAGGCTGGGATGGGAGGACTGCTTGAGTCCAGGAATTCAAGACCAGTCTAGGTCACTTATCATATAGCAAGACTTCATCTCCACAAAAAAAATATCAAAAAATTAGCCAGGTTTGGTGGTGCATGCCTGTAGTCCTACTCAAGAGGCTGAGGCAGGAGGACCACTTGAGCCCAGGAGGTTGAGGCTGCAGTGAGCCGCAATCATGCCACCACATTCCAACCTGGATGACAGAGTGAGACGCCAACTCAAAACAAAAAAGAAACAAACAGTATATCTAGAATATCCAAAAAGTAGAGTATCAAACCAATGTTGTATCAGAGATCTCTTAGGATTAATTCCACAGCCAAGAGGTTATTAGGGCAGCCTATACCCTCAGTCTCAACCATAACAGGTTCTGCTGACATAATATAATACACATAAATTTACGAGACCAGCCCAGGTGACATAGAGAAATCTCATCTCTACAAAAAAAATTTTTTTAAATTAACAGGCCATGGTGGTACATGCCTGTAGTCAGCTACTCAGAAGACTGAGGCAGAAAGATTGCCTGCACCTAGCAGATTGAGGCTGTGGTGAGCCGTGATTGTGCCACTGCACTCCAGCCTGGACAACAGAGTAAGATCCTGACTCCTAAACAAAAACAAAACCAAGGAAAAACACCCCATGTATTGAATGTCTAATCTCGGGCATTAGTTCATAGTTCCATAAGGCACACCCAGGTTCGCAGTGCTTATAGTTGCTGCTGCCTGCTCTATCAACACCTACAGGGCCTCTCTTTTTGAGATGACACTTCTGTATAAACAGCTTTAGTTCAGATAGTTGATCACAGCAGTATTTTTACAGTAATTGACCAGAATCCTATCATGTTCTTTTTTTTCTTTTTTGAGTTGGAGTCTCACTCTGTTGCCCAGGCTGGAGTGCAGTGGCACGCTGACAGTCACCGCAGCCTCAACCTGCTGGGCTCAGGTGATCCTTCCGCCTCAGCCTTCCAAGTAGCTGGAAATACCGGCACACGCCACACCCCCGGTTCATTTTCTGATTTATTGTAGCAATGAAGTCTTGTCAAGGTGCCCAGACTGGTCTCTAACAGACGAGCTCAGGTGATCCTCTCACCTCGGCCTCCCAAGGAGCTGGAATTATAGGTGTGAGCCATAGTGTCCAGCCTCGTGTTCTTTTCTTGCACAACTTTAAGAACTTCAGCATGTTTCCCCACAGTTGCGTCTTATCCATCCTGATTGTAAGACCATGTTTCCCAAGAGTTATTTTTTTTTCTTTTTTTAATGCTAATTCGTCTATTTCTCAGTTTACTCAGTATATACACTTTTCCATATAGTTGTACAATCATCAGTACTATAAAATTGTAAACTTTGTCAACATTTTTTATTGATTAATAGAGGTGAGGTCTCACTATGTTGCCTAGGCTGGTCTCAAACTTCTGGTCTCAAGCGATCCTCCCATCTCAGCCTCCCAAAGTGCTAAGATTACAAGTGTGAGCCACCATACATAGCCTCCCAAAGTTACTTCTTATCCACCTTGATTGTGAGACCATATTTCAACTTGCTTGATATACATCAGCTGGAGTAGACTACTGATGGCAGGAAAGAACTGGATGTGTTTTAGGGCTTCATTGGAGGTATCCTTGCCTTGCTATTTCATATAAAGTATGGCTTGTAGATGACAATGGAAAAATTACTGAAGAAACTGGATGTGCAATCCTCAATAAACTTTAATATGGAGTTTGATACAGAGTTAGTGATACATTGCATGACGTAGATACCTTCCAATTCCATTTCCCTATTTATACTCTGTTGTACTCTTCGGCCCTCTATTGTACTGTTGTCAGATAAGTGGGAACCCTTCCTTACTAAACTGGTCATTTTGAAATGTGTTTTGGCAGTCACAACAAACCAAACCATTTGCATACCACCCTTCATGTAAAATTTCACAAATTCAAATAAACATTTCAACCCAGAAGACGTCACTAACAAATAACAAATGCCATACTACAACCTAAAGAGAATATAATCCCTCCACCTCCACCCTTCTACAGCATAATCTGTATGGGAACACAGGAGCTAAACAACGGGCATTACAGCTGGACATGACGACTTCACGTATCCCTTTAGTCATTTCCAGAAATTAAAATGCTAAAATATGCCTGGTCAGAGAAAAATAGCTGGTTAGTTAAAAAAAAGCCAGTACTAACTTTATATCTAAATGGTATCACGTAAAGCTGTGGCAATAAACAAAGAGGGAAGATGGAGAATGCTTATCAGTTATAGATTATATTAGAAAAAGACTACACCAATGGGAGAAGAAACGAGATCCTCTTGTCCATGGCTGTCTACAGCTTACCTTAAACTGGATGTTGGGCACTAACGAGCACACCTCAGAGCAGACAGTCTGCTCTTTCATTTCCAGAAGCCCCCTGAAGAAACAGACTACTGTTCTTCATCCCTTGGGGGACTTGAAGAAATTCAAAGACTCACTGTGTCTTAGCGGTAAGTGGACAACGACCTCTCTGTGCATCCACGAATAGCTCCCTACCAGTGAACGCCCCTTCTGGCTACACCAGGATTCCTAACCCTACTCAAGTGTCTTCCTATATTTATTAGAACGTGCAATTTTTCAAGATCTCACACAAACATGATGTCCTGAAGCTCGCAAGAAAGGCCTTCCCATGGGGACCAAAGGGAGGCCCAAACTTTACCTGTACAATGATCATTTTATACCTAATCCTGAATTGCACCCCGCATCTTTAAAATAAAATTTAAAAGAAAAGAAAAAGGCCTTCCCTGACATCAAAAAGGGCAATCAGACATTGTGGTGGCCCACAGTGGATTCCAGGACAGCCCGACAGATAGCACCGTAAACTTGGAAATTCTCTTTTAAAGGGCTTTCAGGTTTTGTTTTTTTTTTGCCGCCCCCGCCCCACCCCCGGTTAAGATGGGAGGCCAGAGAAAGGCAGCAGACGTGCCCCCCACCCCACTCCAGGTGAGCAGACTTAAACACAAACAAAAGACTCCGGAGGACTCCGAGACCAAAATGAGGTTCCCAAAGAGCACCCCTTCCTTGGGGCGGAGGTCCGGCTCTCGGAGGCGGCAGGGACATCTCGTTGGTTTCAACTCAGAAAGTGGGTAAATGCAGAACTAGGAGCTGGAAGACTCTCGAGTCTTGACTAAGAAGCCCAGGCGAGCCCACTCCCAGAGCAGCAGATCCCAACTGCGATTCCCGCCCTAA